GAGAGGCATTTCTATTCATGTGTAAGGTGGCTTCTTTTCCTGACAGAATTATCTTTCAGCAAATTCTGTGGAAGGCAGAAAATATTACATTCACTACCTATAATGTAGAACATACATAGGTAACGTGCTGCAGTAGCTGATGGGGTGACACAGTTACCTCATTAAAGCGTATTGTTTCCACAGCTTTGGGCTGCCATTGTAACGTTAGGAAGACAAATTAAGGACAATCCTTATCCTGAGCGAGCAGGATCTGAGCTTCCTGAAGGAGCATGCCTTGTTCATCCAATGTCTTCTGAACACTGTGGTCATCAGATGAAGAGTTGAGCCTAAGAATGAGGATTTTCAGGTTGTGGTAAGAAGGTTTCTTTACACAGTAACAATGATTGGGTAATTTTACATGAACATCACAATCAACAGCTCTGACCTGAGAAAATATTTACTCTAAAATATTTTGGTTTTAAAATTAACTGAGTTCCTAATCTTTCTCTGTACTGCAGGAGATGTGCATTAAATGTTCCATCAATGAAATATTAAAATCAAGTTTCCAGACTGCAGTGCCTCAGTATTTAGCTATAACATGAGAAGTTTAACCACCCAAAATTCAGGATCAGGTTGCCCAACACTTCAGCTACCCAACCACAACACATATGGTAGGATTTTCCAGAGAGAAAACTGGGAGAATTTAAGTTAGGATCCCACCTCTCCATGCTGATTTATATAGGGAATGTAGACATCTGTGTGTGGATTCAGATGGTTTGAGTATTTTCTGAGGCGCGTAACACAGGGCACACATGATACTACACTCAAAAAGTCTGTTGTGCGCAGGACTGCTAAACTTTCCACACGGTTAAAGCACAGGAGCTAAGCTGAGTTTATATTTTTCATAGACTCTCTGAGTCTCCTCTATATTTCATTCTTCAATTGTAAAAGGTCAAGAAGAATACTGACATCTCTGGTATGCTCTGAAGATACACGTTGTAATGTAACTGAGGCCATAGAAGTGATGGCCAAAGAAGTGATTTGAGGGTATGTAACCCCATAGCTTTGTACGAAGCTGACTGTACAAGGACCCACTAAGCTTTTTAATGGTGATCTTGGGGTTAAATCCTCTGTTTTCAGGAAATGTGGCTTTACAATAATGTTTGTTTTGCAAAGTCTGGATGAATGATATATGGTCTGTTCATATACATTACCTGCTGTGGGTTAAGCAAGAATACTGTGTTCCTGAGTGCTGGACGCACCACCTACCTCATGTGTGCGGGCACAGCTGTGCTGCTGGTGTACTGCAGCACGGACAGCCACCTCCTTGGTGTCACGCTCCATGGTGAGGGGCAGTGATGTGCATCCGCCCGTACCAAGAACCCCCACCTCGGGCGCTCCGCTTTGTGCTCCGGTGGGCACAGCTTTTGTGAGTGTCAGTCCCAGGCTTTATGGTCCCGGCACCCCGCTCCCCGGTGGTGTCCCAGCGCTCATCCCGCCGCTCCTCGGGTGAGTGCCTGTCATGTGGCGGGTGCGTCACGGGGGGCGCGGTGCCGCCGCCGGGGCCGGAGGCGGTGTCGGTGTGTGCTCTGCGCCTGCCACGCCGTGGGGCTGCACGCCCGCCCCACACCCGGGCACCGTGTCCTTTGGGGTCACCCCTCCGCGTCGCATGGCGTGTGCCGGCCGCGGGCACCATGCAGTCTGCGTGTGTGCTGTGCCTCTCCCCGTTCGCCCTGTGCCTCCGCGTGTGCGTGTGCGGCCCCCGCCCCTGCGCGGCCCCCGGCGCCGCAGCAGCGCCCTGCCTCCGGTTCGGGCGGGCGGGGCGCTCGGGGGGGCGGCGGGCGGGACCCCGCGGAGCCGGGGGGCACCGACCGCCGCCTAACTCCCCGCACCGCCCGGCGAGGAGGCGGCGCGGCGGTTCCCTCGCCCGGTGCGGCCCGGCCCCTTCTCCCCCGGGCGCCGCCCCTCTCCGCGCCGCCTGTGAGTCAGGGCTTTGCCGGGCACGGGCGGCAGCCGCGGCCGGAGCGGGCGGGCAGCCTCCCCCGCGGGGCTCCATGGAGAAAGCGGCGGCGAGCGAGGGCGGCGGCAGCAACAGCAGCAGCCGCAGCAGCAGCCGCCCCACGTCGGCAGGCTCGTCCCCCTCGTCCTCCTCCGCCAGCCGCGGGCTCCCGGGCCGGGCGGCGGCCGCGGGGAGGCTGGATGGAGGCGGGGGGGCCGGCGGAGGCGGCAGCAGCCCCGGCTCGGCGGCGGCCAGCCCGGGGGGCGCGCAGGCGCCCGGCGGCGGCGGCAGGCGGCGGGAGCCGGTGCTGGAAGGGACGCTCAGCAAATACACGAACCTCCTGCAGGGCTGGCAGAGCAGGTAAAGCGCCGGGCCGGCCCCCGGCGGCGCTGCGGGGCCGCGTCCTCACTCACCCCCGGCCGCCCCCAAGATGGTGCCCGGGCAACCGGCGCTGCCGCCCGACCCGACCCCTCCCCGACCGCCGCGGCCCCGGGCCAGGCTCCTTTCCCTTTTCCCCCTCTCCTTCCTTTTGTTTTACTTGTTTACTTCCCCAGCCGAGTTTGGCTTAGAAACGGGCGGGGAGGTGGCCCGGTGTGAGGTCGCAGCGGTGCCCCTGGCGTGGCCGCCGCAGGTGCGGGCGGGGCAGGGAAGGGCTGACGCGGCACATGCTGCTGTCCCTGCCTGACAGGGTCCCGTTTCTAAGCTCCTTTCTCTGTCACGTTAGTCTCCGTCCTCTGTGAAGTTATCTTGGATGCCTAAAGAATGAAAAGGCGACTGAGAGCCTACCAAAATAAAGGGGGGGGGAAATGCCATGCTTGTCATTATTACTATTATTTTCTTTCGCTATGCAGTGGGACAGTGGAAACAGTTATCTTTATGCTCATAAAATATCTTCTGTTGCTATGTCCTACCTGTTTGACAAGTCCTAATTTATGCCGATACGGGGACAGGCCCAGGTCCTGCAATTTGTTGGGTGTGGACAGGCTGACGTGCATCTGTGGAAGTCCCGAGGAAGGTCTGGTTTTAGTCTAGTTGTAGGGCAAAATTTTTTACAGAGTTGAAGCCAGACTGTGGAGTTAATAATGCTGTACAGGGATCTGTTGAAAGCAAGAGTGAAGAGTTCCTATTAATATTTTACTTTTTGTTATTCAACTTTGTCCTCTTAGGGGATGGATGAAGATGAGTATCTAAAACTTGACTTTCAATATAAGGCACCACAGTGGTCGTTTTGAAGAGAAGATGCTTTAGAGAGAACATGTACAGAACTAGTTATAAACCATTCCACAAACCTTTAAAAAACACCCCCCCCCAAACCTTCTGTTGCTGATATTAGGTGATCACAAGCAGTAAGAACATGGGAATGGCTGGGACCTTGATGTTCTGACAGTAATTTTAAAGTATTTATAAGTGACAGAGTTGCACAAATGCCCATGAAGTTATGGTGGTGACTCGTGTGCGGCTCAATCAGTGGTAGGAACTGTAGCAGTACTTCCTGAAGAGTTTCAGAAGCTGGTCTGATTCCAAAGACTGGAGGCCATGCATAGGTGTGCCAGCTATAAACGATAATGAATATGGTACGAATTGGATACACATAAAACTAGACTGCAGAATGCATAGACATAGAGAAGGCCCTTTACTGTCATTTGGTTACTGCAGTTCTGTTACAGATTCGCATTACGCTTGTATCTGTTTGTTGGTTTATCAGTTCTCTTGTAGTTTTGTTTAAAAAAAAGAAAAAAAAACGCATTTTGATACCTAAAATGGTGGATTAAAATCTATGACTAAAAATTAAAGCCCCTGCCTTCCCCCTCTTTTTTCCTGACACCTCCGTCTATTCTTGTAGAAACAGTAGCTCATTTTACTGTGTGTGACTTTAAGGGTCATAATCTGATGAAATTACAAAATAGAGGTAATTGTTTATAAATCTTTGGGTCTAGAGCTGCCTGGTGGTTGTATTTAGGAAGAGATTGAATCTTTGATAAGGCTGACAGCTGGAAATAGCATGTATGATCTGTGTATGTCCATTAAATTTTATCTGAAAACATGGGAAAAAGATCATTGTC